GGCCGCTGCCCCCCCGAGCCCCCTGCCGGCCCCCGCGGCCGCCCCGCTCCCGCCGGGCCCTCACGGCCGTTCCCGCCGCAGCATGCGCATCGTGGATGACGACGTGAGCTGGAGCAGCATCGCCGCCGCCGACAGGGAGGAGGAGGAGGAGGACGAAGGGGACATGCCTGTGGTGAGCGGGGGCGCCTCAGAGGCGCTGGCACAGCCTCGGTCCGCCCGGGGCTCCCCGCGCGTCTCCTGGGGGAGGAACGTGTTAGAGCGCCCTGTGCGTGGCGGGTTCTGCTCCGGAGAACCAGAGCAGCCCGTTCTTTGGCTGCACAGGGGTTCTGTGCAGCCTGGTCTGTGTGCAGCCCGTTCTTTTGGGGCCCTGTGCTGCAGGGCAGCTGCTGCAGCAAGGCGCAGGGGCTGGCTCGTGGTGCCCGCGTGAGGAGTGGCACAGTACCTCTGCTGAGCCCTGCTGGCTGTTGGCAGGTGGCAGAGTTCGTCGATGAGCGCCCCGAGGAGGTGAAGCTCATGGAGGAGTTCCGGATGAACTCCAAGTGGAAGCTCCTGGGAGGTGAGGGCAGCCCCTTCCGCCCCCTCTCCCTAGTGCCTGGCTTTTCCAGAGGTGCTGGGGCTGCTGAGCTGTGCAGGGCCCTGGAAATGGTGATGGCAATTGTTTTCCCTCAGATGAGGACTCGCAGAGTTCGGATATTTCAGGACCTGCCAAGTCTGCCACGAGGTATGGGGGCTGCAGCCAGGAGCTCTGCTCCTGCTGCTCTGGGGAATGTGGGCACTTCTCCCTGCTGGGCAGGGCACTGCAGCTCTGGCTGTGTGTGACACTGCCAGGGGGCTGGGGTGATGGTGCCTGTGGGTTTGGGGGGTGCTGATGGTGCAGACCTTGCCATGCCAGCTCTGTGGGATCCAGCTGCCTGGCAGGGTTTCTGGGATCTGCTGGGATCCAGCTGCCCGGGGGGTTTGTGGGGCCTGCTGGGGCTCAGGGCTGCAGCATCCCTGCATCCACCATCACAGGCTGCTCCCAGCCTCGGGCAGCTGCCAGCCCTGCGGGTCCTGCCTCGTTGGGATTCTGGGATCTGCTGGGATCCAGCTGCCTGGGGGCTTTGTGGGGCCTGCTGGGGCTCAGGGCTGCAGCATCCCTGCATCCACCATCACAGGCTGCTCCCAGCCTCGGGCAGCTGCCAGCCCTGTGGGTCCTGCCTCGTTCCCAGACAAAGCAAGCAGGAGGGAGCTCACTGTCACCTTCTCTGTCCCCACAGGCGGCACCACGGCTCCCCAGAGCCCTCAGCCCCAGCAGGGAAACACAACGGCTCCGTGGGGCTGTGTGCTCCCCGGGGACAGCGAGACAACAGCCCTGAGCAGTCACCCCCCAGGAGGCAGCGCCACGACACCCCTGACCCGTCCCCTCCCAGGAGACAACGTCATGACACGCCAGATCTGTCACCCCCCAGGAGGCAGCGACATGACACCCCTGACCCCTCACCTCCCAGGAAAAAGCGTCATGACACACCAGACTTGTCACCTCCTAGGAGAAAGCGCCATGACACCCCTGACCCCTCACCTCCCAGGAAAAAGCGTCATGACACACCAGACTTGTCACCTCCTAGGAGAAAGCGCCATGACACCCCTGACCCATCCCCTCCTAGGAGACAACGCCATGACACGCCAGATCTGTCACCCCCCAGGAAAAAGCGTCATGACACCCCAGATTTGTCACCTCCCAAAAGGCAGCGTCATGACACCCCTGACCCCTCACCCCCCAGGAGACAGCGCCACGACACCCCTGACCCATCCCCTCCTAGGAGAAAGCGACACGACACACCAGATCTGTCACCCCCCAGGAAAAAGCGCCATGACACCCCTGATGTGTCGCCCCCCAGAAGAAAGCGACATGACACCCCTGACCCATCCCCTCCCAGGAGACAACGTCACGACACCCCTGACCTGTCACCTCCTAGAAGACAGCGTCACGACACACCAGACTTGTCACCTCCCAGGAAAAAGCGACACGACACCCCTGACCTGTCCCCTCCCAGGAGACAGCGACACGACACTCCTGACCTGTCCCCTCCCAGGAGGCAGTGTCAGGATTTGTCACCTCGGAGACACGACACCCCTGATGTGTCACCCCCCAGAAGAAAACGACATGACACCCCTGACCCATCCCCTCCTAGGAGAAAGCGACACGACACACCAGATCTGTCACCCCCCAGGAAAAAGCGCCATGACACCCCTGATGTGTCGCCCCCCAGAAGAAAGCGACATGACACCCCTGACCCATCCCCTCCCAGGAGACAACGTCATGACACTCCTGACCTGTCACCTCCTAGAAGACAGCGTCACGACACACCAGACTTGTCACCTCCCAGGAAAAAGCGTCACGACACCCCTGACCTGTCCCCTCCCAGGAGACAGCGACACGACACTCCTGACCTGTCCCCTCCCAGGAGGCAGCGTCAGGATTTGTCACCTCGGAGAGAGAAGCCGGGGTCCCCGAGTGGGAAGAAGGGCCGAAGGAAAGGTGAGTGTCACACACTGTGTCCCCCGTGTCCTGGGGACCCCTGGCATCCACGCTGCCACAGGTGAGCGCCGTGGCTGCTGCTCCAAGCCCTCCCTGTGATTCATCTCCTCCAGGACGGGCTTCTCCTGCCCACAGGGACCAGCCCAGGTCCCGGAGCCCCCCGGAGCCCTCGCTGCACCACCGGGATGCCAAGGGCTCTCCCAAGAAGGTAAAGCTGTCTCTTTCCCTCCCAGCTGTGGAAATGCAGTGATTGACAAACTGGGGGAGGTTTTGGCTCTAGCAGGGCTGTCCCTGTGCTTCGGGTCCCCCCTGTGTGCCAGCTGTAACTGGGATGTGTGTGCTCTCCAGGCTGGCACGATGGCATCCGGGGTCAAAGCTGGCCTGGTGTCGGCTGACGTGCTGCAGAGGGAGAAGCAGGAGCTCCGGAAGCACGAGAGGAGCACCAGGCACCTGGAAGGTGGGAGTGGACACAGCCCCAGCTCCCTCCTCCTCCTCCTCTGCCCTCTGGGCCCTGGCTCTGGGGTGCTGCTGGGGAGCATCCTGTGGAGCTGCAGCTGGACACGCTGCTGGAAGCTGGGCCAGGGTCTCTGCTCCACAGAGCAGTGCCAGGGAAGTCACAGGGAGTGTGAAATGCTCCTCTGCCAGTCTGGAGGAGCTGATGGATGCTGAGAGCTCAGGGTCTGTGTGGGGCAGCAGGGAAATCTCAGCACCAGCTGAGCTCCTGCCTGCCTTTGGGTGAGAGGCTCTTGGCTCAGGCAAGAGAGAAGTCACAGTTAAAGTCATTGAATTGTCTGGAGGTGATGAAATGTTCCAAAATCGTGACTGGAGGCATCTGTCCCTGCCAGAGGAATCCCGGGACGCTCAGACCGTGTTCCGAGACAAGTCCGGCCGCAAGAGGAACCTGGCCCAGGAGCAGCTGGAGCAGAGGCTGAAGGCTGAGGCAGAGGCCAAGAGAGAAGAGCAGTATGCCAAGTGGGGCAAAGGGTGAGTGAGGGGCTCCTGAGCACAGACCTCGGGCCTCCCATCTCCTGGTGTTAGTTTGGGTCTGCTGCCAGACTGCTGTTGCATTTCCCTATGCTCTGAGGTTGAGGTTGAGCCTGGGACCAGTGTGTGTTCCACATGCCTGAAATCCCCTTCCCGTGCTGGAGGTGCTTTGGGAATGCTGCACAGGCAGAGGGAGTTGAGGGGTGAGACCCATCCTGCACGCTGAAGGAGTCCCAAGGAGTGGTGGCTGGGGTTTGGGTGACACAGTGTGCTTTCCAGGCTGGCACAGGAGAGGCAGCAGCAGCAGAACGTGGAGGATGCAGTCAAGGAGATGCAGAAGCCCTTGGCCCGTTACATCGATGACCAGGACCTGGACAGAATGCTGAGAGAGCAGGAGAGGGAAGGAGACCCCATGGCTGCTCTCATCAAGAAGAGGAAGGCCAAGGAGAACAAGGAGAAAGGTTTGCCTCTGGAATGCACCTGAGTGTGGTTTGAGGTGTCAGCAGTGCAGAAATGCAGCTGCTGGTCAGTAAATAGCCAAGGGGGATTTCTGGACTGGAGTTCCTGGCCTGTTTCCAGTTCATGAGCTGGGAGAGCAGGGCCTGCTGAACACTCAGCAGTTTGTCACAGTGAGCCCTCGGGGCTGCAGCTGGCTGTCAGGAGCCTGAGCTCTCTACCTGTGCCCACCTGCATGGTGGCGACCACCTGGCTGTGCTGAAAACAGCTCTTGTGTTCTTTGTGTTCCAGAAAAACCCAGGTACAAGGGACCAGCTCCTCCCCTCAACAGGTTTAACATCTGGCCCGGGCACCGCTGGGATGGCGTGGACAGGTACTTGTTCCTGTTATAACAGTATAAATAAAGTTAGAGTAGTAACAGGAAAAACAAAGTTAGAGTTCTGCTTCAGGGAGTTCCAGTGTAAAGGTTTCCAGCTCTGGATGAGTGAGGGTGTTGGCAGCTGGAAGGTTGAAGGGTTCAGTTACAAATAGGTGATGGGACAGGTGGGACAAGGGAGGTGAGGAGCATCAGCTCTTGGTAACCACAGGTCCGGGTGGAAACTGGGCCAGAGTAAGTGAGTGGCACAGTTGCAGTGGCAGAGGAGCTGGTGCCCAGCAGCTGCTCCACCTGGGTGTCCCTGGCAGGTCCAACGGGTTCGAGCAGCAGCGCTTCGCCCGCATTGCCAACAAGAAGGCCGTGCAGGAGCTCGCCTACAAGTGGAGCGTGGAGGACATGTAGGGACAGCTCCTGCAGAGCCCCACAGGCTCCACCTGCTGCCACAGCCCCGAGGGATGGCCTGCTCCCCTGGAGCAGCCCTGTGCTCGGCGTTCAGCAGCCCATGGGCCATCTGCTGAGAGGCACGGCTGGATTTCCCTGGGAGCCCCTGCCCCTGGGGAGGACACTGCTTTCCTCTTGGTTTTCTAACAAACTTCTCTTCTACGCCAAATGACTTCTGAGGGCAGTTCCCAAGTCTTCAGGTGTCCTAAATCTCAGGTGAAAATCTGCTGAACGCTTGGGCTTGGGAGAGTTACCCTCATGCTGTTGGTCACGCTGCTCCAGAACTCAGGTTAAGTGGAACTTCTGAACTTCCGGGCCATCTGCTGAGAGGCATGGCTGGATTTCCCTGGGAGCCCCTGGGGAGGACACTGCTTTCCTCTTTGTTTTCTAACAAACTTCTCAAACGCCAAATGACTTCTGAGGGCAGTTCCCAAGTCTTCAGGTGTCCTAAATCTCAGGTGAAAATCTGCTGAACGCTTGGGCTTGGGAGAGTTACCCTCATGCTGTTGGTCACGCTGCTCCAGAACTCAGGTTAAGTGGAACTTCTGAACTTCTGTCAAGTTCATGCAGTTATTTTGCCATGTCGATCCCAGAGTCACCAACATGCAGGAAAGTTCAAACTCAGCTTCTTCTGACCCTGTCCAAGCAGGAAACTGAGCAGGGAATGCTCTGGCACTGGAAGAGTGACCTGCAGTGCTGCATTGGGCAGCAAGATCTTCAGGAGCCTCAGCAATTCTGCAGGGCTCCATTTCTAGTGGAAGGAAATGTGTGGAGAATTAGGACTTAAGGCCTGGAGTCGCTTCCCTCCTAGTTTGGAGCAGCTGGTGCCCCCAGAGCCCTCTGGATTTGGGGCTGATCTCAGCACTTGGCTCGCTCCGGTGGGAGGTGTAACAGCCCTTGTCCTGTGATCACATTTGTCAGTCTTGGAGCTTCCCTTGATCCCTGTGTGCCAGAAGGCACTTGTGGAAATAAATACAGTTGTTCTTGTTGAGGTCCTGGGGAGCAGGGAGGAAATGCAGGCAGCAGTTTCCATGGAGATGCCTTGGCTGCAGCAGTGGGCAGGGCAGGGCAGGATCGCTCTTGTCAGGGATTCTCCAGCCCTGGGAGGCCGTGGTGGGAGGGAGGGGCAGAGCACAGTCTGCTCTGGAGTGCCAGACTCTTGGGGCATCCCTGCTTTTCATCCCTGTGTCACATTTCCAGCAGCCCTGGAATTGGTGTGTTCACCTGTAAATAAAACCTTGCTTTTTTTACTCCATTCTGCGTGCTGGTGGTTTTTCCAAGGCAGCTGAACCATGTCCAGGCAGGTGCTTCCAGCTGTGCCTCCCCTTCTGCCACCAAGGCCCTGTTCCATTTCCCCTGTAACCCGAGGCAGCTGCAGCCTCCACAAGTGCAGTTCCACTTGACACGTTCGTTTTTGCTCTCACTTAATCTGAGTGCTGCTGGAGATGTGAAGAACCTGCTGTGGAATGATTGGATTTGCTCTCGTGAGCAGAGCTGGATGCTGGTACCTTCCTCACCTGCCTGTGACAGTGGCTGCTCTTGCAGAGCCACAGCTGCCAGCAGCTGGCTCGTGCCACTCTCGGGACTGTAAGCTGCTCTCAAGGAGGCAAAGCACTTTTAAATGCTGGTACTAAACAAAATGTGCTTAGGACCTGAAAATGGCATCAGGATCTGCTCTTGCAGCTGGTTTGGAAGGCTGGGGTTTTAAAATTTTAGAGGTGCTACCCTGGGGACCTCCTTGTTCATCACAGTGCTGGATTTATACATCTGTTACCTGTTTGCTGCCAGATATTGTATTTTTAAGAGATATTTGTAAGGGAAGGGAGGTTCACGTGGTGAACACCTCCCTCCTGATCCCATCTGTGTGCTGCCTGGGCAGAAGGGAGCTGGGTTTGTCCCTGTGCCCTTGTCCTGCATCCCACATCCCCTGTCCCAGCTATGGCCTTGGCTGAGCAGCTCTGGCAGCAGAGCAATTGGAAAAGGCTGTGGGATCCTCTGGGACGAGCTGGGTGATGGAGATGGAGCAGTGACACCAGCGCTGGATCTCTTCATTAGTGGCTCTGGAAGGGCAGAGCCCAGGTCTTGGCATCGAGCAGCAACTTTGATTAGCTTCAACCCAAAAAAATGAATATTAAAATCTTAATTTAATTTCAACCACTGTCATTCACAGTCATGGCAAACAGCAAGCAGAGTAATTATTATGCAAATGAGACAGATAGAAAAATGATTAATAATTGCGCAAATTAAAAATTATTGTAAACATCCTGTGACTGGTGATAAGTCGGGGAGGAGCGAGCGGGGGAGGCAGCGGGGCTCAGCCACCTCCTGCATCCCGATTTCCTCATTAGTGGGAGCACTAACGAGCCCAGGGGTGCCTGGGGAGGCCGGGCCAGGCTGGGGATCTGCTCCAGCTCAGCTTTACTGTGGGAAAAGCCGGGTCTAAGCCATTTCCCCCCCGTGGAGTCCCTGTGCTCCTGCCACTGCCCGCGTGTCCCTCTGCACCTGCCGGGGGATGCCAGGCTGCTGATGACCCTGGGAGCTCCCCCCAGCAATTTCCAGCTGATTTGTCAGGTGTTTCCATATTTTTCCCCCCGTTTCCTTTCATGTTTTTTCCAGGGAGCAGGATCATTGCAGTCCCAGGCTCTCGTTGGCTCCTGGGCTTCCACGGGCACCGCTCGTGTCAAGGACCAGCAATTAAGCCTGGCCCCTGCACAGCATAATTAGATTTTTGTTGATGAGCTCGTGGTAATGTGTTTAGTTTAGATTAAGAGCTTAACTCCTGGGGTGTGACACCGCCTGTCCCCGGGAGCCCTGTGCCCACGGGAGTGGGGCTGGTGCAGGGGTGTCCTCGGCCACCCCCCGTCTGTGTGTCACCTGTGTCCAAAAGGTGAACGTGGCTTCTCCCCCAGCTGCCTCTGGGCTGTTGTTTTTTTAACAGCTCCAGCGAAGTGGCTTTTGGCAGTGTTGTGTTATTGCTCCGTTTCCTGCTGAGCTCTATTATTTTTTAATTAAAAAGAGCCTGAGATTTGTCATTTAATGTCTCTCTAAACGGCAGCAGCTCCAGGTTGTGGGTGCTCGGCAGAGCTGGTGGCTCCCTGAATCATCCCAGGCTTCCAGCACGGAGCACCCGGGCATGGGGGCACAGTGGGGCTCCCCCCGGGCACGCACACCCCTCTGCTTTTTGGGGAAGAAGAGTTTTCCCTGGTGACTCCATCCCACAGCGGGGCTGGCAGTGAGAATCCCTGAGACTGGCAGGTTAGTGATTGTATATGCATATGTGCACTTTCCCTAATTATGGAATAATTAGGGACACGCAGAGATAAAAATTACTAATAATATTTACTCTAGACTCTATTTTTTTTTTCAATAACCTCTCTCTCTCTTCCTCCTTCACCGAGTCTTGGTGGAAATAACTTTGCAGATCCCAGCTAATGAATATTTGTAAATGCAAGAACATTCGGCGCCGGAATATCCAGAGGGCATCCTCTCTCTGCCTTGTAATTTTTTTCCACCAGATATTTAATATTTATGGTTCCACAGCCTCGTGAATAAAGAGCCACACGCAAACCCCCAGGAGCTCGGGGGCCGGGATATTTATGGTGCTTCCTCTTTTCCTTTTCAATTACAAAGACACCTCACATAATTAAGTGCTAATAACCTTGTTAATCTAAAATTGATACTCTTTCTCCTGGCTATCTCTTAATAGAATTAAAAACAGATTAATAATCAAGGGTAGGAGAAGTTGCAGAGGATTCAGGGAGAGGGGCCACGCTGGGTCCCTCAGGAGCCAGGCTGGGATGGGCAGCAGCAGGAAGGGCTGGCAGGGAGCTGTGCTTTCCCCCCGCTCTTTACACAGCTTAAATTTTTAAGACAAACAGCCATGTAACACCGTCTCCTAATGAAACTGTTTTATGTTAATTAATTATGTATCAAGGCTCATTTTCATGCGCGGCCCGGCTCCGCTTCCCCTCCGCCGAGCCTTTGATCTGTCAGAGGCTAAACGGGAGATAAATAATCAAATTGAGAAGCAGCCTGGATGGAAATAAACACGGCTTCGATGCGTTATCGGGCGGGTAGAGCAAGGCCCTGGTCATGGGGCTCACGGCTCAGCCACGCTCGGCTGCACACGCGGGCTCTGGGAGTGTCCTGTGCCTCAGTGTCCCTGTCCTCTCCTGGAGCAGTGTCAGAGCTTGGCCAAGCTCTGACAGTGGCACGGTGCGCGGTGCCAGCCTGGAGGGGAGCAGAGGATCCCCCGGGCAGAGGATGTGGGGACAGCCCATCCCTTCTGGGTGCAGAAGGGATGCAGTTGGGCACCTGTGCCCTGCCCTGTGCCCTGCCCTGTGCCCTCCCCTGTGCCCTCCCCTGTGCCGTGGGTGCCAGAGAGGAGGGGGCAGCCTTGGTGGCCCCCATGGCACATCATGGCAGTGCCAGCAGCGCTCAGGGGGCTGTGCCAGGGCTCTGAGAGCCTCGTCCCCTCCAGCCTCACCCTGGGCACTGCCTTTGGGTCCTGAGGGCTCCGCTCCAGCAGGGTCAGCTCTCACCAACCCCCACATCAGAGCCAGAGCTGCCCACACCCCCGGGAGCTGTGGGGACTGCCCAGCAGCATGGCAGAGGAGCAGGGGGCTCGGGGGGCTGCCCAGGGCACAGAGGGTCCCTGGGGCAGGGGGGCTCTGACCCTTGGAATGTCCCTGGGATGTCCCTGAGCAAGGATGGAAAACAACAGGACGTGGTGCTCTGGTCTGGCTGACGTGGTGGTGGCTCAGAGGTTGCACTGGATGCTCTGGGAGATCTTTCCCACCCTGAATGATTCTGTGGTTCGTGTCACACGTGTGCAAGCAGGGAAAAGAGATTGGGCAAGAAAACACACAAAACTCAAGCAGAGAGGGTGCTGCTGCTCTCTGGAGGGTGGGATTTGCCTGCCGAGGTCCTCTCCGTGCCACTGTCGCTGCAGACTGGGATTCCCTGCCCGGCCCTGGCGTGCCTCAGCATCCTGCCAGCGAGCTAATCAGGTCAATGCATTTTTAACGGGGCATAGGAAATCTTTATTTTTTTTGTCAGGCTCATTCTTCTCCCCCGTCTCTCCGTGGGGGCTGAATTATTTAATGCTGAATCTCAAGCAGGGCTGGTTTCCCTGTGCTGGCTGCTGACGGTGCATTTTGGGGCTGCTGAGATTGGCAGTGGCTGTGCTCCCAGCCGGGCCCGGGGGAGCCCGTGCAGCAGCAGATTACCTGCTGCAGCCACATTTATGGAATACCTTGGGTCCTTCTGGGCGTCTGAATAAGGTTTGGAGAGGGGATGGGCAGTGCCAGACAAATCACAGCATGCCCAGCATCCATAATCCCTCTCTGGGTGCAGTCAGAACTTAGCTGGAGTTTGGGTTGGTCTCCACGCTGGGAGAGCAGAGCAGGACAGGGGACCCAGCAGGCTCAGCTCAGCAGATCCCAGCTTTGGGCACCACGCCGGGCAGGGCTGGGGTGGCAGGAACGTGTGTGTGGCAGCGGGCACAGGTCGTGTGTGGCCAGGAGCACCCCTGGGTGCTCAGACACAAAGGCTGGTTTGTGGATCGGGGTTTATCTCTCCCATTAATGGCTTTCTAAATTGGTGGCAGTGGAGCAAAAAACCCAATCTGAACTCGGAGCATGCATGATTACTATTGTAATAACCTTGGCTAATAAGAATATGATGTGGTGTTAGGCTGGGAAAGAAAACACATTTCTCATTAGCTTTTTGATTAATTACTCCACATAATTTCCTAGGGGGACATGCCTGGGACTGATTGCCTTTGCTTTTGACGCGTGGAAGTGGTTTACCTTAAGTTAATAATTTTCTCGGTGACATTTTAATGGCAGGCCTCAATTAATCTCCAGTCATGGGGCAAAGGCCAGGCCCCTGCCATGCCCTCGCTCCTCTGGGGGCTCAGGGCACCCCCCTTGCCCACCCTTCCCTGGACAGGGCACAGGAGCTGCCTGGGGGTGAGTGTTAAGGCCAGGCTTGGGCAGAGGTTTGGGCTCCAAGGTCCTGCACCTCCCTGCCCTGCCCCACACGGGATGCTGTGGCTTCTCAGGGCTTTCAATACCTGGGAATGCAGCAGCTGTGCAGCCCGGGCCTCTCCCAGCACTGCCAGGGATCCAGCTGTTCCCAGGCATATGTTTACACGGCCTGGAAGCCACCGATTTCCTTCCGTGCCTTATAATATAAATATTTCACAGGAGCTAAAATATTCAACACTCGTTTGATGTTGCCACATGGAGTGGG